GTGTGTGTGTGTGTGTGTGTCCAGCTCAGCCCACCGGGGGGGCGGGGCTGGCTGGCATGTGGTGCTGGGGGATTGAACCGTGGTCCCTGCGCTTTGCTAAGCTTGTTCTAAGTAGGTGCTTTAGACCACTGAGCCATCTCACCAGCCCCTTGCCTATATCTTGTAATATGAGAAACTACTTTGGCAGTAACAATACACAATGTACTAACAAAAAAACAAAACAAAACAGAAACCGCCCTCCAAACAGCTCAGTGGATTAAAGCACCTGCAAGCAGATGCAGAGCTGTGCTGGTCCCACGCCTGGCAAATGAGACTGGGCATGGTGGTGCACGCCTGTAATCCCAGCTCTTGGGAGGCTGTAAACAGACAGATCATTATGAGCTCATCTAGTAGTGAGACCCTGAACACCCTGTAGATCCCTCCCTAAAATACACACACACACACACACACACACACACACACACACACCCCAAAAAACCCAGGAACCAAATTTGTATATACTTTACCTAATTATTTGGGAACCTTAACTATAACTACATTAATCTTCAGTTGGGCTCATATGAACAAATGATCTATATGTAACATTTCCCTACTTTCTAAAAAAATCAGTTAGGGAAAGAAGAAATGTAAAGAGAGAAACAAATACAGATTTTATAGCTTGTGATTTTTTTTTTCAGAACTGGGGACTGAACTCAGGCCCTTGTGCTTGCCAGGGAAGCACTTATTCCACTGAGCCATCTCCCCAGCCCCTATCTTGTGATTTTTTAAAGCCACTGTTACACAGAAAATTGAAGATGGGTTTGGCTAACTCATTAAACCACAGCTTCCCAAGGCTGGTGAGAACCTTGTAGGCTAAAAAAAAATTATAAACCAGATGTGGGGCATGTCTGTAGTCGCAGCACCTGGGAGCCTGAGGCAGCAGGAACATCAAGTTTGGGGGCCAGTCTGGGCCACACAGCAAACTGAAGCCCAGCCTGGACTACAGAGCAAGAGCTTGTGTCAAAAAAGGACACACACTACAGGAAGACAGTAATTACCACACACTCTGTCAGTCACTGTAAGTGCCTACAAGTTAGAGCGATCCAGGTCTAAAGGCTAATCCTTTCATATTTTAAAAAGTCATTTAACTATAGCATCTTAGTGCATTTTTAAAAGAAAATGACTATTGTGGGCTAAGTATACATCAAGTATGGTGCTCACTGAAGACACTGTGAACAACACAATCACCCTCAAATCATTTCACTGGTGTTTAACTATCACTATTAATATTCATCAGTGAGGTTACACTTGTTTATCTGATATACAGAACCAAAATCACAAGATGTGATTGAAGCCAGAATATAGGTGCACACAAAAAAGTGATGGGTAACTGATAACTATTTGTCCCCAACTACTACATTACTATGTTTATCCACACATGCTCTGGTGTTGAAATGTTTTGTGCAAACATCACTTCCCTTCTCCAAAGACCTGCAGTGTTGCTACGCGGCTGTCGCCCAGAAATAAGCATACCATCATTTTGATTAACTTTGGCTCTTTTTTATTCAGGAAGCATACACTAATTCATTTTATACACTTTCTTTTTACATTCCAGGAATAAGCGAAAATAGCGGTTTTAAATATGTTACAAAGTTGGCTTTTGGGACTTAATAAGCTTTTTGAGAGAGGGACCAGCCAACCGACCTTTTCATCAAAGCACCAAAGTATCTTCAGTCTTTTACCAAGCTCCACCACAGCTGTGGTTGCCCTGGATGTGCTGTGTATCCGAACTGAGTGAAAGCTACAAGGGAGAGTTGCTGTGAGTCTCTCTGCAAGGCACCAAGAACAGTTCAAGCTTCCCTTCGTCAGGTTGAGTCAAAGTTTTTGAAACTTTTCAATCGCTCTCTCAAGTAGTGCTCTCTCGGCATGAAGACTAGAATTCATTAAAACCCATATATCACAAGATACAGTAAGTCACGTCCAATATACTGGACATCACATGAAAGAAGTTATAAATAAAAGAACACTAAAATTACTTTAAGAAAGTTTTACATCATTTAGTTGGTAAGGACATTTACACATACAGTTTACTGTTAAACATTCTATACTGGCTTCACACAAAGATGAAAATAGATAATACAAAATGATCTGACATTTTCAGTAGGTCTGGAATTAAAACTGCAGTTTTACTGGAGCCAATAGCGACTTTACATATTGTAGCAGATTGCTGTGCTATGCCCTTTAACATGTGAATTTCTTGGGGTGAAATTCCATTTGGATGTGTTTTTGCTTGTACAAACTACTATAATCTGAGTGGCACAGCAATATCAAAGACACGAACAGTGACTGCACAATATCACTTGCTGGATTAAGCTAATACAAGTGGATAGAATTCTTCAGGTTCCATTATCTAATAAAGCACTATATGAAATGAACAAGGTGAAACATTTTAAGAATGAATATACTCTGCAACCAGAACTTGTAGCATTTAATAAATCTGCCTCATTAGGCATTTACAAAATAAATTAGTAAGATCTCAATTTGCTTGGGGCATAACAAGCTCATAATGCCCTACCTGGCCTTCCTGTTTGAGCTGATCTAGTAGGTCCTCCTTCCGTCTTTTTCTGCCTACCACCAGGTACCTATCATGGCCCACCCCGTGAGACTTACTCTTCAGCCCATACTTCTGAGCAATCTGATGTATTTGCTTCCGCTCATCATTAGTCAGCTCCGTAGAAAAAGTCAAATCTGTGTGGCTCTCCGAGCGGGCGTAGTTTCGGATGATCTGTTCAATATCTCTCTTGGCAATTTTATTGACCCTCTCCACATCAAGACCAAGCCCTTCCCTCTTGTGCTGCTCTTTGACTGAAATAGGCTCCCGTATGCCCTCACCAGATTTCCCTAAGCCACCACCCGTCCAACCCATCTTTCTTAGCAGCTGATTTCCTATATTATCTTCTCTGATTTGTTGTTTATAAGCCTCTTCAGCAGAGCGGCCCTGGATTTCATTTCTTGAGATCACATCTTCAACAGTTCCTTTCTTCAAGTTGTTAATGACAGTTGGCTGGGTCTTTTTGAGGATTTTCACAGCCTCCCCAGCAGCTTCATATTTGACCGTTTTCTTCACCCCAACTGCTTCTGCGATGACTTCACTCTCTAGAATCACCTTGCATTTCCAGCGGAGGCCTGTCATCCTTTCATAGACGTATTCAACTGTCATTCGGTTAAACTGAGCTGTGTCATTCAGGGTGCACACAGGATTGGAAGAGTTCTCATAAACTACAAGATCCTTTATATCTTTCTTCTTCCCAGATCCTCTGGGTGAGGAGCCTGAATGGCATTGTGAACTTTTGACAGACGGGTAAGTGGGTTGTGTTTTTTGAAGAATTTTCAAAGCCTCATCAGCAGCTGCATGTTTACTTGTTTTCTTAGTTCCATAACCTTCAGCTAAGCAGTGATCCTGCAAAAACACTCGGCAACGCCATGTGCGATTTGGCATCATCTCATATTTGTACTCAACTGACATTTTGTTGAACGAGGCAGAATTGTTAAGGATGCCAATTGCATCATTTGCATTTTCTGTAATGACAAAATTGGTCCAGTGTTTGGCAGAGTTATTAAAAATGGGCTGCCCGGAAGCATCTTTGCCCATCACCGCCAGATCTTCTGGCGGTTTCAGAGCTGGAGGAAATTCATAGGAAAGCATGCCAATCTGGCATACTACAAGGTCCTCTCCAATTGTGTGCTTGAATTTTCGCCGGACAACTCTAACCTCAATACGCTTCTGCAGGAGTTTTACAGCTAGCTCAGTAGCTCGATCCCTGGACCCGTTCTTGCTGCCAGCATAACCTGTAGTTAAGTAGATATTCTGGCATCTAACTTCACAAGCGTAACCATCTGTCAAAAGTTTTTTATTTTTGGGGATGTCAGCAGGAGGAATTTCTTTTAAGGGAGCGTATATATACTCGGGATTTGTCTTACATGCCTGTATACAACGAGTTAGCATATAGGTATAATTAATTTTATCAGATCCAGAAGTCATCTCCGGATTAGAAAGGTTCTTCCAGATAGTCGCTGTTAATTTTTCAATAAAATACTGCTTCTCAGCTACCACTGACTCAGGATATGTCTGTGATGGTGAAGGCTCAGGAGCTGGCTGAGGGTTTGCCTGCTGCGAGGTGCTGCTTGGGGCAGGGTTCCCACTGTCAAAATACATGTTGGTTGTTACAGGCTGCTCTTTTGTAAAAATAAATCCTGATGAGTCACAATACTGAGAATTCCCGTCCTGGATACTGAAAGAGTCTTGGGTATAATCTTGGTAGATGTTTCTTGGCATGCTGGCAAAATGGGTTTGTTCGTTTACCTCTTTTGTTTGAGGACCATAAGGATCTTCCTGTCTTTCATCTTTTGTACTACTAGCTACAAAATGTACAGGCTCAAAACGAGGTCTCACATGGAATTTGGAACCGGCTTGCTTTTTAGGAGGATTTTGACCTATAGAATGAGTGAAATTTACAATTCATTAAAATGGAAATATTTCAAATGAGCCAAGCAGGAAAACAGAAGCAGCCCTATCACCTGCAAGCTGTACCAATGGACAATATGTCCCATCACAAAATCTTCAAGTCATGTGGGTTGAAAGGACTCACATCAATATAAAAATCCACCATAATGAGGGATACTCCCTATCTTTCCATGCATTAGGAAAGACCTTGATAGGAGATACACCGTGGAATCAGTTATGCAGGTAACCACCACGCATGCCTTGTAGACAGACGCCTTTCCACAGAACGAGCTAAAGCACAGGTGAAACATGCTCTGTACTTGCACTGGACAAGCGCGTCTCATCTGTGCAGAAAAGCTCATAGAAGGAATGCAAATGGTACAGATGATTCTAACGCAACAATGACCACAGGCACTTACAAAGCCTTTCTCTTCTGTATCGGGTGAATAACTCTGTGATGGTGTTTTGCATAGTTGTTACTAAAAAATGAAAGAAAAGGCTGGGAGTAGTGGTGCACGCCTGTAATCCCTGCACGCAGGAGGCTGAGGCAGGAAGATCACTGCAAGTTCGAGGCCAGTCTGGGCTGCAAAGTGAGGGCAAGGCCAACCTGAATTACATAGTGAGACCCTCTCTCAAAGACCAAAAAGGAAAAAAAAAGGAACTATCAAAAATTTCAAAAATTTTCAACTGAAAATGTTAGTTCTGTCCTATTCTATACACAAAGGTATTTGCAACATTCTATTTCTAGAACATCCAGAAACCAGATTTGTGGGGGCTGCCAAATCTAAGGCTATGGAAGAACTCATGGAGACTCTATCAGCCACTAGCACTTCTTTCCTCCCTCTAACACTGCTCAGTAGAAAACTGGTCTATCCTGGACCTATCTGAGAGGATTCAGTTACTTACATACTCAAATGAACACAGTATAAGGTTTTCTAGTTAGAAGGATGTTCCATGGCACAGACTTCAAGGATAGCATTATAGTATGACCTCAGTATTCCTAGTTTTCAGTTGTCTTTAGCATCCTCAAAAATACTGTACCTTGTCAGCATTATGTATAACTAAGGTATACCAATAAACTCAATCAGTTAAAAAAACTATACCTAAGTTAAAAATCTTTCGTCTGTGTGGAACTCCCAATGTTGCTGGTGTTATGTAAACCATATAACTAACTTGCATCATTTTAAAAACACCACTGTGTTTCTTCAAATCCCACCCTCCAAAAACAAGTATACTCACCATCGTATGTTGAAAGGTGACGTTTTTGACCTTTGGAAGGCTTGGACAGCATCAGATCATATGATGGCATCTCGCCAATATCAATACCTTCTGCCATTTGCATAATTTTTTCCATCAAACGAGGGCTGTACCTATTTAATTTAATTTAATATACTGACAGTTAAAGCAGGTAAACACATAGTTTCTTTTTAAACATGTAGTTTTGTAAAAATCTTCAAATGAGCTAATCTCATTGCTTCCACTGGATTATCAACAGATTATCTTGGCTATAAAACTAAATATATCACCCTAAAATATTTACCTACTAGGATACTCATTAGGAATCAAAATTTTTAAGCAAAGGACATGTAAGATATAAAAATAAAAAATTTTACATAAGGCCTTATGTATGTATGAATTGAAAGTATCAAAATGATTTATTTTTCCTTTTTTTTTTTTTTGCAGAACCAGGGATTGAACTCAGACCCTTGTGCTTGCCAGGCAAGCGCTTATTCTACTGAACCATCTCCCCGGCCCTATTTTTTCCTTTCACATACATACTATATAAAAATTACTATACTTATATATTTATAGAAATACTGAGAGTGCTAAGAGCTGCTGAGCTGCTAACATCCAGACTGTGGTAACCGTCATTTCTCATGAAAAGGAATCAGGATCCCTGGAGAAATGGCTGCTTCCAACCAGGGGGCAGGAAATGTTTAAGATGAGCCTGGGATATCTTGTGCCTAGAATAAAGGAAGCTGTCAAAGATCATAGTATCTGTGACAAGTGAACTCAGAAGCCAATCTGAATAGATTCCTACTGGCAATGTGAGCCAACCTGAGTATCAATAGATAATAACCAAGATGAACCAAAACACATCAAACAGATTGAAAGCTATTACTTCATAATACTTACCAATCCATCATTGGCTACCTTTGGAGGATAGAGGGAATCAAGTCATTATTCAGCAAATAAGTAAATATCAGGAAGAAAGCAAGCATTTATCCTGTATTTTCCCATACAAACTGTATCTCAAAGCAACCAAAGAGTTGAAGAAGATCTCTTTCCTAGAAGCATTCCGGCTAATAAATGATAGACTAATAAAACGATAGACTACTACCATTTTATCCACAATAAATGATCACCGTTTGCTAAATCTATTGGCAAGCCAGTGTGGTGGTGCACACCTGTAATCCCAACATGTGGGAGGCTGAGGCAAGAGGATGCTCAGAGTTCAAGGCTGCACAGCAAGACCTTATTTCAAAAAACAAAACTCAACAAATCTATTGGTGTAAAGTTGATGAGGGAGAACCCAGAAATAGACCCACACAAATATTCTCTGATGACTGACGAAAGTACAAAAGGAATTCAATGGAGGAAGGCCAGGGATGCAGCTCAGTGGAACAGCATCTGCGTGGCAAGCATGAAGTCATGAGTTCAGTTCCTGGCACTAAATTTATATAAAAAAAGAAAGAAAAATAATACAATAAAAAATTCAATGGAGGTAGCTATTGGTACTGGAGGGAATGGGAAGCTATAGGTAAAACCAATCAAACCAACTAGCCATAATCTCTCATACCTTATACAGAGATGAGTTTGAAATATATCATGAGCTTAAATGCAAAATTAAGAAACTTTTTATTTATAAACTTAAGAGAAAGTCTTCAAGATCTAGGGCTAGGCCAACAGTTCTTAGACTTAACACCAAAAGTATGATCCATAAAAGGAAATAATGGGGCCAGGGAGATGGCTCAGTAGAATAAGTGTTTACCTGGCAAGCGCAAGGGCCTGAGTTCAATCCCCGGTAAAAAAAAAAAAAAAAAAAAAACTTCTCAAAGATTTGAGGCTGGGGAGATAGCTCAGTAGAATAAGTGCTTGCCTGGCAAGTGCAAGGGCCTGAGTTCAATCCCTCGTTCCAACAACAACAACAACAAAACAACGAAAAAAGAAAAACCACAAAAACTTGTGCTCTTGAAAGACCCTGCTAAAAGACAAACTAAGGACCAAGAGAAAATATTTGTAAACCACATACTTGACATAAGACTGGTCATCCCCAAACTCATCAAAAATGCAACCTTTTTCTGTGTGTGTGTGGTGCCAGGGATTGAATTCCGTGCCTCACACAAGTGCTCTAACACTAGGCTACATCCTCAGGCCCCAAATAAAATTTAAAATGAGTAAAAGACATTAATAGAACATTTCACCAAAGAGTATACTGGTACTGCAAATAATCACATGGAAGGACACTCAACATCATTAGTTACCAGAGAAATACAGTACAAAATCACTATAAACCTATCAGAATGGCCCAAATAAAAAAGCGACAACACTAAATGTTGGCAAGGATGCAGAGAAACTGGGTCCCTCAGACACTGCTTGTAAAAATATAAAAAGGTACAGTTCATTGATGGTGAACTTTTTAGAGCGTTCAATGATGACAAACAGCCTGCTGTGACACGCATGCCATAGGTTTGCCATCATTGGTATAGTCGCTCTGAATTTGGCCCTTCCTTACAAAATTAAACATCAATTACACACAACTTAGCAACTGCTTTCTTGGAATTTTCACAGAAATGAATATGTAGGTCCAACATGAACACTTACAGCAACTTTGTCTGGAAAAGGCCTCAACAAACTCAGTCCAAATATCCTTCAATGGTTTAGCTCTGATACACACATACCATGGAACACTACTGAGCAACAAGAAGGAATTATGGGGGCTGGTGAGATGGCTCAGTGGTCTAAAGCACCTCCTTAGAACAAGCTAAGCTAAGCAAAAGCAGAGACCGACCACGGTTCAATCCCCAGCACCACATGCCAGCCAGACCCAGCCCCTGGTGGGCTGAACTGGCCACACACACACACTAAATAAATAAATAAATAATGTTATATTTAAAAAAAAGAAGGAATTATCAATACATACAACAATGTGTATGAGTGAGGTGACAGACAGATGTAGTTAGAAAATTAGGGATCCTTGTACAACAAGCAAAACCAAATTAAACAAACCAACCACAATTGAACTCTATTTATTTATTTATTTATTTATTTATTTAGTGGTACCAGGGATCGAACTCAGGATCTTGTGCTTGCCAGGCAAGCACTTATTCCACTGTGCTATCTCCTTGGCCCCACAAAGTAACTCTTAAAATTATTTTTTACTTATTCATTTTCATGTTTTTGGTACAGGGTCTCCCTATGCAGCTTGGACTTGTAGTGATCCTCCCATTTTCAGCTTCCCCAGCACTGGGATTACAGGCCTGCACCACCATGCCCTGTCTTGATGGCCAGCTCAGCACACCTGCGGTTGGGGCCAGCATGGCATGGGGTACTGGGGATCAAACCCCAGTCCCTGTGCTTGCCTAAGCAGGTGCTTACTTAGTCCACTGAGTTATCTTGTCAGCCCCACAATTTAACTCCTATACCTTAAACAAAAACTAATTAAAAATGTAGAACTATAAAACTTTCATTAAAAACATAGTATAACATTGGGAATATTCAAAATCTTTACCACGGTGGTATATACAACTGTATATACATGGCTGGGTGGAACACATCTATAATCTCAACACTTAGGAGGCTGAGGCAGGAGGACCTTGAGTTTGAAGCAGCAGATCCTGTAGTCTAGATCCTGGACTACACAACAAAACCCTTTGTCAAAAATGAAAATCTAGCCAAGTATGGTGGCACACACCTGTAATCCCAGCATTCAGGAGGTGGAAGCAGGCGGATTTCCCCAAGTTTGAGACCATCCTTGGCTTCACAGTGAGTTCAAGGCCACCCTGAACTATATATCTAGTGAGATCCTGTCCCCATCCTACACATTGGTTGGGGGTATAGCTTAGAAGCAGTACTTGCCTGGAATGCAGAAGGTCTTGGGTTTAAGCCTTTGCACTATAAAAACAAGCATATGATATCAATACTTGATGAAAAATACCTGTTCCATGTTATGCCTAAGATGTTTGATATTCAGATAGGGAGGTTAAGCTTAACAGCATAGGTTGTATGGTAATAACAATAAGCTTCTCTTCTGGAGGGTTAACAATCTAAGTTTGCAGACCAAAAATTAGAGAAAAAGGAGAGCAGCAAGGAAAGCCAACATTTTGGCCCTAGCCTTCCAAGGTCAATTAAGACTCAGGACATATGAGAAGTTGTACTGTAACATCATGTAACTCAGCCATGTCTCAAATTTTCTGATCAAGGAGATTATGGTGCCAAAAAAGGAAAGTGATCGATGATGTAGAGTGTGCCTAAGGAGAGTCACATGGAGAGAAAACATTCTCTCAAGCTTTCACAGACAGCACATTGGCCAAGCAATGGCCGTGACTCATCCACATGGCTGACACTGACAAAGGATCTACAATCTGAGGTACAGGGTCTCAGGATAAATCCTGAG